AAAAAAAAAAAAAAGAATCCTCATACAGCTGGATTCCTGGGACTACTAAATTTTCTGATGCTTATTTCCTCTTTATGAGTATTTAAAAAGTTAAAGAAAAAATTCACTAGTGATTTTTCTGGAACAATTTAAAAAACTTAAAAGCCGGCATATGTTCTTAGTAAAATGTCATGCATTTCCAAAGCAGATGAGAAATGGAAGAGAATGTACCTGCTGAGCTCTTAACTCTCTACGTTCACTAATCACACTGTCCACCAGAAGCAGGGCTTCTCAGACATGCAGTGCTGGAGAACGTGCAAAGGTGTCTTGACACACAAAGTGGCTACCTCGTGGAGTGGACTGCTGGGGAAACCTAGCACCTAGAGAAGAGGCAGCCTGTTGGCCCAAGAGAACAGGGGAGGGCATCGGGGGCATCATCTTCCAGCATCTTCCTGTGCTCTCCTGCCTACACAGTCACCATGATCTGATCCAGAGGTTTCCGTTTTAAGTCGGGCACTGTGGCCTCTTTGCTGGGGTACCCCACAGGGAGCAGGATCAGCAGCTTTTCATTTGCAGGGCGACCCAGGAGCACTCTTAGCCGGGGGCCGCAGTTGAGAGGCGTGGTGGTGACCGTCACCAGTCCTGCATTCTAAAACAGGAGAGGAAAGGCATGCATTTTAGAATCAGCGGGCAGAATCACAGCTCTGCTTCTAGCCTGAGGTTTGCCGGCTTGAGCAGCAGGCATCTTGAATCTTGCTTTCTCTCCTCAACCCCCCAGTTCTCATATTCTTTTAATCAAACAGTGAGAAACTTCTTGAAGAAGAAAAATACTAGTCTTAATTTTCAGTGATGCCTAAGAGACAGGAATGGTTATTTCACGGAAAGAAATGTGGGGACTCCAACTACATCGAACGAATGGCCCAAACAGCCAGGAGTTCCTATGATTATGCAGCCAAAAATAGAGGCAGAGCATCACCCCCAGGTGAAAATACCTATGCCCAATGATCGAAGACCCCGTGGCCAAGGGATATGTTGGAGGTAGAGAAAACACTCCATCAACCTGCTCCCAAATCCCTCCAGATCACAAACACCTCATAAAACTCAGTCCCCCAAGTAACACTTCCCGAGCTGACCCCCTCTATCCGCTGCTTTTCCAGTCAAGTGGTCACAGCTCAGCCTGAGCCAGAGAGAGGTTCTGGAACGGCCTCTCAGAGTCCTGCACGATCTCCCTGAGCCCAGCCACTGTGCGCTCCGTCCAGTGGAGATTCCTCCCTCGCAATCTATGACCTAAACGCGCACTGACGCCTTACCGAAAGCTAGAGGGCAGCAAAGTCAACACTAATACGAGAAAGTTCTGCTAATTCACAGGCACAGAAGCGGCTTGCTGACTCAACCTGGAGCTAAGCCTCAACCACCTCCCGGTCCCTAAGATGCTGGCAGCACCCTTGTGCCTGATACCATTCCGTTGTTTAGCTGCTTCCAGAATCAGGAAGGAAATACGATGCCTGCTCCTTAAGGACAATTTTCAAGGAATTAAAAAAACATTCCTTTTGTATGTAATACTGACTGTTATTTTGCAAGGTGTTTTCAGCATACAAATTTTTCTTTGAAATAATGAAAAAGCACATTGTTTTCTGGAATCAATTGTCCCTTGGAGACACTCGCTTTTATTGTCTTGTTTGCTTTATTTGTTTTTCGGGTTTACTGTCTCTCTCCACCTCAGGACCCCTGTCCCCACCAGAATGTACTGTTCATGAGGCGACTATTCCTGGTGCCTCCCAGACCCTGCCCCACAGAGGGAGCTCAGTAAACATTTGTTGAGTAAATAAATTGAACCATGTGAAAGGCATACCTCAAACCCACTCATGCTGAGCATTGCTCTAGCTGCTATGTAGATGGAGTTTTTCAAAGCACATGGACATCTTTCTAATGCAATACAATGTCAACTCAACCACTCAGCAAAGGAGCTCTACGATGGAGTCCTCCTCGTAGCTTTTTAATCATTCCATCAGCTCAGACAACAGAAAACACAGCTAGGAAGCCAGTCCCTGGAACGTGCAGGTTCTGCAGCTCTTCGTGTGTGCCCCCCAAAACCCTTGATGCCTCATGACCTTACAGATGAAGGCAAGTACAATGACCATTTTTCTGACCCTGAAATGATGTTGTAAGTGAGTTTCCAGAAGAATTCCAGCTCTTTGAACCACCATGCTCACACTCAGTGCAGGTTTCCAGAGTTCCTTTTCGCATCAGTTACCTCACTCAGGAGTTTAACTTCAGGTAAACAATTTCCAAGGATCCCTGAACCAGAAACTGAGCTGAAGTTTGCAAATAAGGCCACCGTTTGTCCCCCAAGTACCACTTCTCTGGCTTGGGCAGAGGGGGAGGGTAACATACCTGCAGGGCAGCGAGGAGCATGCCGCAAGCCAGCGAAACACTGATCTCATTGTAGTAGTGGACCTTCCTTTTGCCGTTGGCAGCAAAACCATGGACTTGTTTGAAAATGAGAATCAAAACAGGAGCTGTGTCCAAGTACTCTTTAATCCAGTTGGTTCTGAAGGGGGAGAGAGATATTCCAGGAAATATTTGCTGGTAGTGATTTTTGTTCTCTTTTTACTGCCTTAGCCTATTTCCACTGAAAATAAAAACATTTACTTGTCATTCGTGTTTACATTGAAAAACAGCAGGATTTCTGTTTGTGTTTTTTCATCCTTTCCTATCGAAGCTCATGCAATTCAATAATCTTGAATTAGTAGGAGCCTCATAGGACAAGTGCAGGCAATGCTGAAAGATACAAGGATGGAGCCTATAAACAGAGCGCAATGAGTCAAATCTAGCAAAATAAAGCCTTGCAAATGCTGTTAAGAAATATAAGCCAAGTGCATTAGAAGCCCCCAAAATTAAATGTTAAGTTTGAATAAGAAGACTGGAAGAATGTTTCCAAAGTTTCCCTTGAGGTGAGTCCCTGAAGACCTGGTGAAGAGGCACTGGGGAGAGCATCGCAGTGAGGAGGTGAGTGTGCAGTCAGGACAGAGAAGGCCCAGCAAGCCAGGGAATGTCCAGAGGCCCAGGAGGCTGGAGGCTAGGGTGCACGGGGCGGGGGGCGCGGGAGGGCTGGCAGGCAGGTACACACAGACTCTGCAGGGGCCTGGACTTCACTTGGTGGGTGATGAGGAGTAATCATAGGTTTCCAAGCAGAAGCACTGCCTGATCAGATGTTTCAGAAAGAGGCAGACCTGTGTGGGCAAGGGACCAGCTCAAGGGGGCCAGATGATGGCGACGACCCAGGATAATTCGGAGGAGCGTAGAGGCTGAAGCTGGCAGTCTGGTAAGGAGTGCACAGGGAAGAAGAAAAAGAGGGCGATGAGGTTTACTCAGTCACAGTGGGCAGATGGTACCCTTGTTAACCCAGTTAAGGCAAAAAGGAAACTTTCTTGGGAGTGGGAACATTAACTAATTACTATTGATAGCAAGAGATCACTCTTCATTTTCAGCCTAGTTACGCCTCACTGCTTCAGAACACACTGAACTCGCCTGCATATTTTTCAGTGGTTCTTCTTGCACTATTACCTCCTATACAGAGTACATTTTCAAAGTTACTTTGCCGTACTTCAACCAGCTTAGTCACACTGGACTATTATCAATTCTTCTCTCCTTACAAAGATGGAGAATGTTAATTGTTCAGATGATTAACTTTGGATCGAGTTTTGCCCATGTTGAGCAACCTATTTGATTTTTTTTATGACTCAGTTTCCTTATACATCAAGTATACTATTGTACACCCACCTCTTACAGTTGTTATGAAGGTGAAATCAGTCAAATATGTAAAGTGCTTAGAATAGTACCTAGTACATAATGCTATGTATGTGTTAACTAAAATTATTATTACTAATTACTAATATTATTTTACAGCAAATAATTCAAACAGTTTTTAAAAATATAAGATGAAGATAAAGCAAGTTGCCTACATTCAAAGGTAGGTAAGTAATTTTTAATGGTTTTGTACTTTTTTCTTTCGCCTAGGCATGTACTGGATCTACTATTTTGTGTTTGCTCAACTTTACAAGAATGTATTATGATATCAGAGCTAATAAAAACACAGCGATATGCAAGGCTTATTAAGAGATGGACAAGCAGCACTTCTGCCTGGAGCAGGCAGCTCACACCAGCAAACAGGAAAAGACAAGGTTTGCCAGGTAAATTAGATGCAGACTGTATATATCAAGGCTTCAATGACAGCTATGGGTTTTGATGTTGTCTCGAACAGGGGGTCGGGATATTTGTTCATTTGTAATCAATTTAACAAACATTTATTCAGCCACCTGCTATGCATCAGCTCTGTACTAGATGGGATTAGACCTTCTTGAACCTGAGTTTCCTGGACTGCTAAAGTTTTTATGTATATGTGTTTGTGTGTGCATATTGTCTGCAGAAAAAGTCTATAACTTTGATTGGATTCTCAAGAGTATCTTGATGTACCACAAAGGTTTCCTAAAATGTAACTTATAAAATGAGAAGAAAGTGAGCCAATAATTAAAATACTATGTGGAAATGGCTATTTTACAAGTATGGAGGGTGTATAGTAGGTGCTTGGAGCACAGAGATCAGAGAACAACTAATTTGGCTTAACTGGGGAAAGGGACCGGCAGCATTTTGTAGGTAATGTGCATACCCAGAGCACATCTCTAAGGATAGAAACTCAGCTTGACTTTTACCCATCCCATTTTTTCCCATGAACATGTAATAAGATTTTTATATCCACTATTAACATCTTGCACGTGTTCCAGAGCATGGTAATTAGTTACAACTCCCTAAGGTATCAATTTGATAGGGTTTAAATAGCTTAGGAAAAGATTGTCCTCTGGGGCCAAATAAATGAAACAGGAGTGAGGCAGGAGGCCCACCTCTCATCATCCCAGGCCTGACTTCTCAGCGAGAAGCCCCACCTTCCCCCCGTCAGAGTGGGGTGCCGGCTGGCAGTGCCAGGACCGGCCACAGCGGACAGCTGGAAGCAGGCATCCCACTACGTTCCAAGTGCCAAGGGGAACCAGCATCCCTGCCACCACCTCCTCTCACCCAGCCTGAGAAGATACTGGAGGGAAAGGAGACCGCCTTTGGGGGAAGGGCAGTGTTTGCAAAGAGCACTCGGTGACCAACTTTTTTAAATGACAAGGGTTTGTCTAAAAAACTGAAAATGAGTGTTTTAATTATAAAGCGACTGAGAAGTTATGGAATCCATCTGAGGTATTATGGATCTCCACAGTATTGTGGAGGGACTGCTCTGCAATGGGGAAAGAGGACTCGTCAAGGCACTAATAAATACACTGCATCAAATCTAATTAGCATGAATTCCCCTCTACCTCCTTCCTGCAGACAAGGAAACCCACAAAATTACTAGTGCCTAATGGATAGAAGACTTGGACTAAATTTGTACTTTTGCTAAACATGTAGTAAAACTAAGGCCTGCTTAGTTGAAAGATGTGACCACTTTAGCAAAATGTAATTTACTTCTCTCAAGATCCTGAGAAATATTTCACAATCTTATGTTCCAGATGGGAGAAAAGTGAAGTATGTCCTCAGAGACTTGGGTCAGAGCCTATTTATTGACCAAACACTCATATGGCATTTATGTGCCATCACCACTGTATGTGCTTACAAATGCATTTAATCTCCACAATGAAATAAATACTAGCAATATTCCCATTTTACAGCTAAGGAAATGGAGGCACAGAGAGGTTGGGAAGTGGTAGAACTCATATTTGAACGCAAGCAGTGAACTTTGGAGGCCCTACTCTTAGTCTGATTTTATTTAATCCTGACACCAACTTTTTAATTATCATTCTGGATAAGAAAACAGAAGCTCCTTCCCGCCATCGTGGTGTGCGCTGTTGACACTGTTCCTCGCCATGTCTCCTCACAAGACTTCCAGGATCAAGAGATTCCTGGCCAAGAAATAAAAGCATCATCATCTCATTTCCTAGTCGATTCTGATGAAAACTGGTAATAAAATCTGGTACAACTCTAAGCAGACACACTGGAGAAGAACGAAGCTGGGTCTCTAAGGAATCACATTGAGGTGGCATATGTATTTATGCTCTATCAAAGTCACATGCTCTTACCATCTCACTCTGTAAACATCACTACTATCTGGATAGTTAGGTATGTTTTATTGGGGAAATGAGTTTTTTGTTTCTATGCCTCTGTACTAGTCTGTTGATTCAGTAAGAAATATGTGAAAACAAGCAAAAAAGGAAAACAGAAGCTCAGGTGATGGTTAATTTTATGTGTCAACATGACTGGGCCACGGAGCACCCAGATATTTGGTTAAACATTTTTCTGGGTGTTTCTGTCAGGGTATTTCCAGATGACATGAACATGTGAATCGGTAGACTTGAGTAAAGCAGATTGCCCTCCCCAGTGTGGGTGGGCCCCATCCAATCTGTTGAAGGCCTGAATAGAACAAAAGTGGAATGAAGGAGAATTTTCTCCCTCTGCCTGACTGTCTTTGATGTGGAATATCAATCTTCTCCTGCCTCCATTCCACAATACCTATGCTCAAGGCAACGTAGTGGCGAGACCTGAATTCACTTCCCTATTTCCTCCCAGAGGTAGAATCAAACTTTTTAACACCTAAAATAAAACCAGAAAACTGAAGTCATAGTTATTTCATTTTAAGAAGCCAAACCAAATATCCCTAATTCCACCAACTTTTGTACCTCAGTTTCTTCAGGTCTGAAACCCATTGGCGTCCCATCCTTTTCATGTAGTTTATTTCCTCTTCCTCCTCAATGATCTCCCGAATCTTATGCTTCATGTTGGGGTCCTTCACAACCACAAAGGTCCAGGGCTCTGTGTGGGCTCCACTTGGGGCTGTTCCTGTCACCCATTAAATTAAAAGCAGAAATTAAAACTGCAGGAAAATGTGAGAATGTTCATTAAGAATAAATACAATAACTCATTCATACTCAAAATGAAGTTCAATCATCTGGCAAACAAAGTGGTTGGTTGTAGATTCTTGCACGTTGCTGCCAACCCATCTCACTCAGCAGGGGCTCCAGACCAACTGAGCTCAAGGCCAGGAGCTATAGGGCTGTGGGAACTTAGCACTGCTTCTCTAGTCATGAGGGAGAAAACATCCCTAAGGAACTGGACCCCAACCACGACCACCAAGGGAACTCACAGGGGAAACTAAAAAATTCCCAAGAGGATGAAGTCAGGTGGCTGATAGAAAATGGTTAAATTTAAATGGTAAAATGGTTTTTAAACACTCCTCAAGTGGTAACTGAACTATAAATTGTTTAGTACCTTTCTCAGAGCTATGAGTGTGGTACTGTGGGGTTTGTGGTCTCACTGGGGACACACAGAACTCTTGGCCCTGGGCACTCAGTACATACAACAGCATGTCTTCCGGCTCATGCTGAAGACCCACCGCCCACACCTGGATCAGTCCCAGTGTCCTGGACAAAGTTTTATAGTGCATTGCAGTGCCTATGGAGCTTGAATTCCCTTGAGGATTCCAGCCAGGGGTGACCAACTTCCGATCTGAGTGTCACTCCAGTGTTCTAGAGATGGACCACTGTTCCTAGCAGTAGACCCCTGGTAGATGTTTCAGAAAAAGCTATTCCTTTATTACGAGTAAGAAATATAATGGCATAAACTCCATGTGAGAAGGGTCAGGGCTGCCCCCAGACCAAGATGGAGTTCTTGTTTGCCATGCCCCACGGTAAAGAGGGTATGATTGGATTGTGAAATGCAAATCAAAGCCTAGAAATAAGCCCAAATTTCTGAACCATGATTCCAGTTCACTTTGTACCTGTGTTTTTTTTTTTTTTGTCCACTAAACATTTGTGTTACTGAGCAAAATAAATTAATGGCTCCTTCATGTTTTCACTTATGCCACGTAATTTATCTGAACATCATATGTATATACACACATACATAGATAAAGATATATACACAGAAGGAACTGAATAAATGCTATTGTTAGATAAAGGACTCAACGATTTAGTGCATTTGTGTACTTAACTGAATTGAAATGCCTTATTTTTGCTTCCTTTTAATTTGTCAATGGATTCACAATGGTTATGCATAATTTTTGTAATGAACTTAAAAGTGATTTATACAGTAATAATACTCCAACCAGAGGAGATTCAGGTAGGGGCCTTTCTCTTCTATCTTCTCTTCTCTTTTTCTTCAATCCCATTGTTTTCCTTTTGTGGAGACATTTTAATTTATATTGAAAATGGGTTTGCCTGGCTTTGGTTTACTTTGTAAATTTTGGTAATTTATTATAAAACAGTACCAGAACACCATGGTGTGTAATATAAGAAATTTGGTTTCAAAGAGAGAAATGTGTAAATGTGAGTTAGTGTGTATGAGTGTGTGTTTGTGCATGTGCTTAAAGAAGAGGAGAGAGTAAAGGATGTTCTCTTCCAATGTATAAGTGTGTTCAAAAAGTTTCCTTTTTAACAAAAGTTAACAATACTGAATAATTTCAGAAGTTTTGAACTGCTGTCATATCTCTTCCAAGACATCTGTAATAGTCAAAACTTTGTAGAAAATGGAAATCATTCTGTTTCTGGAAGTCAGTCAATACCTGGGAAAGACTAATGTTACCCTCCTAGGCCTTATCCACCATGTCAGCATTGCTCAAATATTGTCACTTGCAGCTGACATTTTCTAAGACCCAGTGTGCAATTACAGACCTGCTGTTTTGATGATATTATCAATGACTTCCATTGGGACTTGCTCATTACTTATGAATCTGACAGACCGTCTCTTATTGAGAAGTTCATAAAATTCCTGAGATCTCTTCACCATTTCCATCTCAGGATACCGGGTATGGGAGAATGGGATATGTTCAACATTTTCTTCTGACTCATGCCATTCATCAGCATCTGCAAATAAGAACAAGAAAGAAAGCAAATTAAATGATCTTTCTTGGTCACAGAGGGCAGCAGAATATGCCACCCAAAATATAGCTCTTTGGTATAAGGACTATTTGGGCTGATTCTTTTTAAGAAATCACAGGCACAAGAGAAGCTCTGAAAACCAAATAGAAGTTACCCTTTTATAAGGGACATTTAAATTTATAAAGGAAATCTACATTGTAAATGTGTCCCTCTCTGTACCAGGAAGAGAAAGATGACTCTAAAGCACAAGAAACTCTTGTCAATGGAGAAGGCAAAACAAACTTACCCTTGTTTACTGAGTTTTTCCTGCTGACCTCTGTAACTGACTCCCCCTTCCCTGAACATCTGCTTTTCTCTTTAGTTGAGGATGGTATTTAAGGTGATAGCTTGGACCATTTCAGCTACTCAGTGTTCCTGGGTATCCCCCATGTATACATATGTATACATATGTGAAAATGAATGCAGAGAAACCTCACTTACATGGAGTCAGGAGGCCAGCAGGCAGAGTTCTCACACCCCACCACTCATCGCGGATTGCAGACCCAACTGGAAGAGTCAGATTTCGCAAGAGGATATTACTTTAGCTACTACACTACACCAGCAGGAGGAAGGAAGGTTTTCCTCCTCCTGGGGCAACAGCCCAGCCAATGAGAGACAGCTCAAACAGTGAAAAGCCACTATACTGTGAACTCCTACTTAACTCCACTGGGCTTTTTATTTATGACAGGCCTCCCAGCACCGCCCTTCCTTCTGTAAAAGCGCAGTCCTCTGCTTTGCTGCCCAGACTTGCCTATGATTTGCCATAGCTTACTTGTACCAAAAATTGCAATTCTCTGCTATTTCCAAATAAATCCATTTTTGCTGATAAAATGACAAATAGTTTTATTTTTAAGGTTAGCTCATTTATTAAGCTTCTGTTTGTTTTTCTCTTATTAATCTGTCTTTAATTACAGGGAGTCTCAGCCAAGAACTTACAAAGTGAGAAGGAAATTATTTTTCCTCCCCTACAGTCATAAAGTGTCCATTAGGGAGAAGAAGATAAAGTTCTCAAAACTGTCTGTAAGGTTCTGAGCTCAAAAACATCAACAAAAAATGAAAATAGGTCTACAGAACCCTAAACTCTAGTCTTGACTATCTTTCAATCTCTGCACTGGTTGTAAATCAAGAAAAATAAAAATTGTACTTACAGAAAGATGATAAATGTGTATTTCTGTTAATGGTGAACTAGTTTATTTGAAACAATCTCCCACCAGCTGAAAACCACGAAGATTACAAAATAAAGTATTTTTCTAAAGTCCATTTAAAATCATTGAATTGCTGACAACCTAGTAAGAAATTCCCAGGCCAAAACTGAAATTAACATAGGAACCTGCAGAGGTAAATGAGCACAAAAGGTGCATTTGCCCTTGATAGCATTTGACAATACCTACATATTTGAATTTTCATTTTTATATTTTCAGGAATCAAGAGGAACAAAAATCAAAGTCCAGGCCATACACAATATGAAATCTAATAAGTTGGGATTCCAAGAATACATCCTTAAAGAAAGCATGATCATAAATAGATTAGCCCCTGTGGAATTATACCATTTTGGTGGGTCCTATCTCAAACTTGAACTTGGAATGAGGTGATCTTGCTGAAAATATCCCCATCGCCTAGCAGAAGTACATGTCAATATACAAGTAATTGCAAGAACAATTGCCAGCAACCCACAAATATAATCAGATATAAAAAGAAACAAAACACCTTGAGCAAGAAACAGCAGAATTGATTTTAAAAATAGAGTCAGGCACCCAAAATATCCAAATATTGGAATTTTCAGACTCAAAAGATAAAACAACTATGATCACTATGTTTAGAGGGGGGATAAAAGATGAACTTATATAAAACTGTAGGGTACAAGAAAAGATAAAAAGTGACACAGAAAATTGGAAAAAATAGAGCTTCTGGAACTGAAAAACAAAGCAGTGGGATTAGTAACTTAATGGATGGGTATAAAGCAAGTTATATATACTAAAGAAAGAATTAATGAGTTGGAAGACAGCTCAGAAGAAAATATCTACAATGGAGCAAAGAGAAACCAATAGGTGAAAAATATCAAGGTCGAACAAGGAGAAATAAAGCAGAGTGAGACTGTATAATATACATTTGATGACAGTTACATCAATAGGTGATGAGAAAGAAGATGTGTCAAAGGCAATATTTAAAGGGAGAGTATCTGAGATTTCCCCAGAACTGATGAAAAATATCAAATCTACAGATTTAAGAGGTTCAATAAATTCCAAGCAGTATATCTTTTATAATCAAATATAAAATCTTAAAATCAGCCAGAGAGAAAAGGTAACCTTAGGAAGATCAACAACAAGAATGATACATCTAAAACATAAGAATATAAAAAGATT